TAGTCCATGACCTATTAAAACTCCTCCATCAGACTTATTCACCTGCCTAAGCAAGAAGACTTCTTGTATCTTAAGTGAATATAGTTAAAGGCAATTAAGCTATAGCATACTGAATACAACAGATGAAGCACATGGAAGAGTATTAAGGCCATACTACACATTATGCATACGAGTGCAGCTTGGGCTCTCCTGATCTGGAAATCCAAAATGCACCAAACTCCAAATTTGTCCATGTGAGTAGTTGAGATAAAGACACAATTGCTTGCTGGTGGTTCACAATACATTAACTTTGATTCATGCACAAAACTATTTAAAATATTGTGTATAAAACTATCTTCAGGGTACATGTATAAAAGTGCATATGAAACTTAAATGCATTTTGTGTTTAAACTTGGTTCCCCTCTACAAGATACGCCATGATGTACATGCAAATATTTCCTCCAAAACACTTCTGGTCCCAGGCATTTGGATAAAGGATATCCAACCGATAGAATATTAGGTAATGATGTTTAGATTGAAAAAATAATAATATGGTATAGCCTAGCAACCAAAACAAGGACAAAAACAGCAAGGGATGTGTTGTATTATTAACTTCTTATTCAGTGTGTCAGATCTCTACATATCACCTCTTCAGTCTTTGTACAAAATTCCTCATCGTCTCAGCAGGGTCTTCAATATTGACTAGTCAGTATAGCACGTTTAAAACCTGGTGCCTTTGTGAGGTCACAACAAGGAGAACACCATTGTTTCTGTTACATAGACATAAGTCATTGGGCCAGGGCCATCATTCTGTTGGCCTGTTCCATTCTCTGGAAGGTCTTTTGCTAAAGACAGCAAAGAGTAATACTTTATTCCGGAGTTTCTCAAACTATGCTCCTCCAGATGTTTTGGACTTCAGCTCTCACAATTCCTAACAGCTGGTAAGTTGGCTGAGATTTCTGGGAGCTGAAGTCCAAAACACCTGGAGAAGATTTTGAGAAGGAGTGCTTTATTCTAAGCTTTTCTCTACAGAATTTCTAGGACTTTTTTAGGATGCACTCAAAAGTAGATCAACATTTCTGCATCCTGCTAATAATTGAAAATTGTATTTTTCTTCTCTGTAATCTTTGTCATCTTGGGTTTAAGGCTAAATGTAATGAAGTAACTAGCAAGGAGAGAGGCAATAAGCATGAAATGTTAGATACATCTTTCCTGCCAAAATATCACTATGAATGGGCTTTGTGTGGGGGCAAGATTTAGAAAAATGAGACTCGTACTTATCATGAAGTTCCCTCTTAGATGGCAGGAAGAGAAACCCATTCACTTAGGTCACTTATTTTTCTACATCATCAGATGACACATGAGGAATAACCCATGAGTTGAATTACTCCTCTGCTGTTATGGAAGGTCCCTAATTTCAGTTATTCCCTTCTCTTATGGCAATGCAATATACCATACAGTGGCTCTCAACCTGTGGGTCCCAAGATGTTTTGGCCTTCAACTCCCAGAAATCCTAAAAGCTGGTAAACTGGCTGGGACTTTTGGGAGTTGTAGGCCAAAACACCTGGGGACCCACAGATTGAGAACTACTGCCACACACAGTATCCTATAGGTCCTTCTTACCTTCTGAAAAGAGTTTAGGGGCTATAGGAAAGAGAAATGAAAGGGAACAAGCCAATGCAAATGAGGGTAAAGAACATTACTATTAACAGTACAGTAAATATTTTCATCATGATTTAACCAGGCCATTTTTTAATTTACTAAAGTTTAACAAGCATAACCCAGAGCTGTGTTATGCAAACCCTTTATGCTTCCTAGTTCTAATGTGGACACAACATTGTATAGGACTGAACTACATTTAGATTCTCATTATGTGTTTATTTATTTATGTATTTATTATTAAACTTTATTTATACCCCGCTACCAACTCCCCAAGAGACTCCGTGCGGCTTACATGAGGCCGAGCCCACAATACATCAATACAAGTTTTGACTTCAAATGCAAAACCTAAAATGAAAAAAAACATCTGTTTCAAAAACTGGGGAGAACTGAAAGACAGGCAGTAGCTATACCTGTCAAACTAAAAGCATACAACAAAGAAAATGAAAAGAATTATTAAGATACAATAAGCAACCTCTCAGAGGAGGTATAAGGTAAGTTCTCTGTATATCAATCAGGATCAAGTATAGCACCTCAAACACATTCCATCTCATGATATCCGCAACTAAATAGCGTGACTAGATCCTATATGTGTTTACTGAGAAGTTTCCCAGTCTGCTCAATAAAGCTTATTCTAAAATGTACAACTAAGACTGTGTTAGTTTTCAAGAGACAATGAAAAAAAAAACTATGCAGGAGGGGATTGAAGACAAATGCCCATATTCAGAAAAGTAATTCCCTCTCATAATATGCGGTACATTGTGAGTGTGAGCAGTTCTGCAATGACTGAAAAAAGGGCATTCTGTACATGGGCAGAAGCACTTGTATTTAAGGGCAGTCACTGACTTCATGCATGCCAAACATGATGTTGTATGTGTATATAGGTGAATCTAATCCATAATACTGTGCATCTAAGCAACAGACAGAAAGTTTTTCAAGCAAAAACCATTAGGCGGAGTGAGCCAACTAATTCATACTGAAACACAATGGCAGTACTTCTTGGAGGACAAAACTTTGTGTAGGACAATCCCTGTCTTTCACTCCTCCAATTTGTTACCTTCACACCTACTAGTGGTTTCTATCCCTTTGACAGAGTGTGAGTAAGATTAAACTGCCAGTACAGCTGACTTCTGAAAATGCTATGGATGTACGAGGGTTATCTGGAAAGTAAGGTTACAAGGCACATAGCTCTCGCGGGGAATTTTCACGGGGGAAGTTGGTATCACTGCCGTGTAGTGGGAAGCCAGCGGAAGCAAACGAGCAGTGCCAGTCATCAGTAGCTCATCGACTAATGTTGTGGTGAAGTTTAAGAGATGAACCTCATTCTATTTCCCTTCTGTCTGTCTCCTTCATGACAATGCGCATCCGCACACCGCTCATGCAACACAAGAGTTGTTGACTTCATTTGGTTGGGATGCTTTATGCCACCACTCTCATAGCCCCGATCTCGCACCCAGTGACTATCATCTGTTGACTAAACTGAAGAAACACCTGTGTGGAAAACACTTTTTTGACAAGGAGGAGGTGAAAACTGAAGTGACAAACTGGCTTCTATGACACAGACATAAAAATACTAATCGCATGGATGACAAAATGTATTGAACTGAATGGTGATTATGTGGAAAAATAATGTAATATCTATGCTATAATCCATGTACATTTTTATTAAAATATATTCATTCTCTGTATTTTTTTAAAAAAAATACTGTAACCTTAATTTCCGGATATCTCTCATAGATGCCATATTGTTCTTTGCCTCGGGCAGCAAAATGTTTTTGGCCAGTGCCATGAAATGCAAAATAAAATAAACACGGTTTAAACAAGCACATGCATTAAATCCTTACAGGGAAATGTTACACAAGTTCAATAAGATTACCCATGATTACTAGTTATATTTGGAAAGTTGTTCAGCTTTAAGCTTCAATCCTATATCCACTTTCTCAGGAGTAAGTCCCAATGAATCCCATGGGTTTTGTTCTAATAGAAGTATTTATTCTCAATCACACTTTAGGAACATGCTGTAATGCAGAAATTGAACTGGTGAAACTTTTCCTGGCTTGTAGGAAAAGTGTAGGTGGTATCTTAACAGCTCAAACTTGGGGTCCTCATGGACAACAAGTTAAACATGATCCAACAATGTGATGCAGGGGCAAAAAAAGCCAATGGGATTTTGGCCTGCATCAACAGGAGTATAGTGTCTAGATCCAGGGAAGTCATGCTACCCCTCTATTCTACCTTGGTTAGACCACACCTGGAATATTGTGTCCAATTCTGGACACCACAATTGAAGAGAGATATTGTCAAGCTGGAATGTGTTCAGAGGAGGGCGACTAAAATGATCAAGGGTCTGGAAAACAAGCCCTATGAGGAGCGTCTTAAAGAGCTGGGCATGTTTAGCCTGGAGAAGGCTGAGAGGAGACATGATAGCCATGTATTAATATGCTTTTTTTTTGTCGTGTCAGGAGTGACTCCTGGTGTGAGAGAATTGGCCGTCTGCAAGGACGTTGCCCAGGGGACGCCTGGATGATTTGATGTTTTTATCATCCTTGTGGGAGGCTTCTCTCATGTCCCCGCACGAGGAGCTGGAGCTGATAGAGGGAGCTCATCCGCCTCTCCCCGGATTTGAACCTGCAACCTGTTGGTCTTCAGTCCTGCCGGCACAGGGCTTTAACCCACTGCGCCACCGGGGGCAATATGTGAAAGGAAGCCTTAGGGAGGAGGGAGTAAGCTTGTTTTCTGCTGCCCTGGAAACTAGGACGCAGAACAATGGCTTCAAACTACAAGCATCCTCAGAGGTGAGGTCTTGCCATGGATGCAGGCGAAACGTCAGGAGAAATGCCTCTAGAACATGGCCATATAGCCCCCAAAAACCCACAAGAACCTAGTTATTCCAGCCATGAAAGCCTTCGACAACTTCCTGACTGTGAGAGCCATTCAGCAATGGAAGTCTCTGCCCCAAAGTGTGGTGGAGGCTCCTTCTTTGAGGGCTTTTAAACAGAGGCTGGATGGCCATCTGTCGGGGGTTCTTTGAATGCAATTTTCCTGCTTCTTGGCAGAGGGGTGGACTGGATGGCCCATGAGATCTCTTCCAACTCTATGATTCTATTATTCTAGACAGAATTTAGTAGGTCACAGCCAGTTTTCATAACCTTTGAGAAAAAAATACAAGCTACTGGGGCTGACTCCAAAACAGTTCCTCACCCAGGATAGTGATAAAAGATGCAGCTGCTATTTTCATACAGCTGGTCTGCTCTGGCCAGCTTCTGGCTGGGGGATTGTGGAAATCACAATCCTGTCAAATGTAAAATCCTTAACTTTGAGTTCTCGAAATCCAGCCAACTTTCCACGTCCCTACTGCGCATGCGTGGTGGCAGGAAAGCCAGGCCGAAAGACGCCTGCGCATCCATTTACTGCCAATGGGAGGCGGGCACAACTCTTGAGCGACAGAGGCCTAGTGCAAGCACTCACCCCTCGGGCAGGGATTACCGGCTGCAGACGCGAGTGGCCGGTTTTACGGCAACAAGGTAAGTAAAATAACAAGGCTCTCCTCTTCTCCCGTCGACCCTGCCGCTGTTACCGCCTCATATTTACCTCAGGCCTCTCTCCACAATCTGCGAAGGGCGGTGACGCCAGGAGACGTGCGCGAGTCCGCGAGGTGTTCGGGCGCGAGCACGCCGTAAAGACGTAGAGGCGCTGCCGCCAGAGCAGGAAGTGCGCGAGCGAAGGGAGAGTGGCTCTCGGAAACCATGGCAACGGAAAGGCCTGGAGGCCTGGATAAGGGGAGAGGGCCATAGTGGAAGGAAATAAAAGAGAAATTGACATGGTTTGAGTCATTTAAACACCAGTTAGATTAAATTAAGGTACTTCCACGCAGCCATATAACCCAGAATATCAAGGAGGAACATCCCACAATATGCGCTTTGAACTGGTTTATTTGTGTCCACACTGCCATATATTCCAGTTCAAAACAGATACTGTGGGATTTTATTCTGCTGTTTGGAAGGGGCCCAGGATCTGATCCCAGGTTGTCTGCTTTAATCTGGATTTTATGAGTCCACACTGCCAGATAATCTATATAAATAAAAATGTAATGTTAGTTCGTGCTACCATCAGAACTCAAAAGCCACTGGGGGAATTGACACCAAATTTGGACACAAGACACCTAACAGTCCAATTTATGTCCTCCACTCAAAAAAATTGATTTTGTCATTTGGGAATTGTCGTTGCTGGGATTTATAGTTTACCTACAATCAAAGAGCATCTGAACTCCACCAATGATGGAATTGGGCCAAACTTAGCACACAGGGCTCCCATGACCAACAGAAAAAACTGGAAGGGTTTGGTGGACATTGACCTTGAGTTTGGGAGTTGTAGTTCACCTACATCCAGAGAGCACTGTGGACTCAAAACAATGATGGATCTGGACCAAACTTGGCACGAATATTCCATATGCCCAAATATGAACACCGATGGAGTTTAAGGGAAATTGACCTTGACATTTGGGATTTGTACTTACTGGGATTTATAGTTCACTACAATTAAAGAGCATTCTGAACTCCACCAACGATGGAATTGAACCAAAAGTGGCATACAGAACTTCCATGACCAAGAGAACACACTGGAATGGTTTGGTGGGCATTGACCTTGAGTTTGGGAGTTGTAGTTCACCTACATCCAAAGAGCACTGTGGACTCAAACAACGATGGATCTGGACCAAACTTGACACAAAAATTCCATATGCCTAAATATGAACACAGATGGAGTTTGGAGGAAATAGACCTTGACATTTGGGATTTGTAGTTACTGGGATTTATAGTTCGCTACAATTAAAGAGCATTCTGAAACCCACAAACGACAGAAATGGGGCACACTTCCCACACAGAACCCCCATGACCAACAGAAAATACTTAAGGCCATCCAGTCCAACTCTCTTCACCAGGGCAAGAAAACGTAATCAAAGCCCTCCTGACAAAGAGCCATCCAGTCATAAATATAGATAGATATGATTCTCTCTCACACACAGATACAGTATCATAGATTTGAAAGAGACCCTTAAAGAAGGACTGTGATATGTTGCATATTCCAGAGTAGGCAAACCAGACACTCTCCACATCAACACTGACAAAGAAACAACAAGAAACACTGTTTACTCACAAGCATAAAGGAATTACATATATTAGAAGCCAACACTTTCTCGTTACTTTATTTTCCAGATCACCAGACTGGGCCACAGCAACGCGTGGCAGGGGACAGCTAGACTGGGATAAACAAAACCTGCAATCAGATCCTAGGAGTCTGGAAAGGCCCTAGACATCTCTGTCAAATTTGAACTGAAAGCAATAAACATAAAAAATAAACAAAATAAATAAACGTAATAAAGATAAATAAACAGAAGTCCCCATTATACTGCCATATAATTTAGATTATCAAAGCAGATAATCCACATTATCTGCTTTGAGCTGAATTATATGAGTCTACACTGCCATATACAATAGGGGGGAAAGTATTTAGTCAGATACAAATTGTATAAGTTCTCCCATTTAATTACATGAGAGAGGCCTGTAATTGACATCATAGGTAGACCTCAACTGTGAGAGGCGACATGAGAAAACACATCCAGAAAATCACACTGTCTGATTTTTATCGAATTTATTTGCAAATTATGGTGGAAAATAAGTATTTGGTCACGTACAAACAAGCAAAATTTCTGGCTCTCACAGAAATCTTGTAGTAATGGCACGTATTTGAACTTAGTATCAGTATAAAAGACACCTGTCCACAACCTCAAGTAGTCACACTCCAAACTCCACTAAGGAGTCTGCTTTGAACTGGATTATCTGCTTTGAACTGGATTATCTGAATCTACACTGCCATATAATGCAGTTCAAAGCAGATAATCTGGATTTTATATGGCAGTGTAGAAGGGGCCCTAGTTTTTCAGTTTTTTAGCTGTGGACAAGCTATTGAATGATGGCTGTCTCTGTTTTGCTCAGTTTCTGAGGTTTTCCTCTCTTGGCGATAGCACTTTGTCACTAGTCTAGCACTGATTCTTAAACTGTGGGTCCTGAACCCAAGTGGAGTCCCCTTATCTCAAGGTTGAGATCACGAAAATTTGGTAACATTAAAACGTTTCTGAATACCACACATTTACACAAATCTGCTAGGAACAACGTGCAGTAGACTCTGCAGAAAATCCTTCAGCTGTACTCCACACAAAGAAAAATTCAGCTTGTTTAGCAAGCCTTTCAAATGCTGATTTATTATCAGTAAATGTTTAATTTAATTTTCATACCTATTTTATATACCTGGGGTTGCATAAAAATGGCTTGAGTGGAATGTGATCGTGAGTGGAATAAATTTAAGGTCTAGTGCAGCATAAGGACTTCTTGTCATTGTGAGAAGTATGATTGCAAAGAATCTTTAGAAGTACCTGCTGGATTAGACCAAAGCCTATCTATTCTAGCATATTGTTTGTCATAATGGCTGACCAGATGCTTTAACTCGGTCTGTATAATGTTTCTAATGCAGTAAAGATGTACTGATAATATGGTAGTGTCCTGCAAACAAATTGGGATTCAAGAAATACCCTTTCTGTGGAAAAATGTCTTTCCTTTCTTCAGCAGAGTACAGTTGTTGGAAGGAAAAGCACAATGGAAGTCCTGCGACCAACACTCATAAGGATTGGAGGGCGTGTTTACAGGAAAAACCATGTTAGAGAACAAGCTCACCAGCAGGAAGAGGAGCAAGACTTCTATGCAGGTATGGTATTACTCAATTGAGCTTCATCTACTGGGACACTGATATCAACTCAAGATATACAAATACTGTCAGGACTGAAAAAGAGTATAGATGGCATGATCCTCAAGAGCACTGAGCCCACATGTTATCCTGTACTCTGGTTATTTAATATTTAATGTTTATTTTACTTAAGTGATATTTGTCTTTACTGTTCTAATGTATCACAAATCTTATGTAAAATCATACTATGTATTTTTGACATTAATATTGAAATCTGAAATATATACAGAAAGTCTTTATCTTTTTCTGTGTATCATCATCATCATCATTTAATAACTTATTAATCGCCCTCCATCCGAGAATGCTCTAGGCGATTTACAGCTAAATTATAAAAGATAAAATGCATACATACAAAAATTAAAAATTAACAGAGATCGAATGCTCTAGTAAAAAGCCAGAATATATTTCAGAATATCTGAAATATATACAGAAAGCACTCCAGAGCAACCCTACCCAATCTCATGCTCTCTTAAATGTGCTGCACTGAAATTTTCCACAGCTACCTGACTAAGGTCTCTTCTATACTGCCATATAATCCAGATTATCAAATCAGATAATCCACATCATCTGCTCTGAACTGGATTATCTGAGTCTACACTGCAGATGATCTGGATTTTATATTGCAGTGTAGAAGGGGCCTTAGAATTGTAGTATTGTAATCCAACACACCTGGAGAAACTTCAGACTAGGGGGCCCTTCCATACAGCCCTATATCCCAGAATATCAAGGCAGAAAATCCCACATTATCTGAGTGTGGACTCAGATAACCCAGTTCAAAGCTGATATTTTGGGATTTTCTGCCTTGATATTCTCGGATATAGGGCTGTGGGGAAGGGCCCCGAGGAAGACATTTTAGGGCCCTTCCGTACAGCCCTATATTTCAGAATATCAAGGCAGGAAATCCCACATTATATGAGTGTGGACTCAGATAGCCCAGTTCAAAGCAGATAGTGTAGGATTTTCTGCCTTGATATTTTGGGATATAAGGCTGTGTGGAAAGGCCCTCAGATAATCCAGTTCAAAGCAGATATTGTGGCATTTTCAGCCTTGATATTCTGGGATATAGGGCTGTGTGGAAAGGCTGAAAGATGGACGAACACATCCCTGGTTTGATCATCTCATGTTATAAACACTGATGTGACAATGAATAAAATAGCCACCATAAATTTACATTTTCATTTCCTGCTATCTCTAATAATAAAAAATGGATGAAAATTGTATGGTTCAGTTCACTGCTTGCGTAAACTCTGCCAGTAAATGTAAACTGGATGTGGTTTTTTTAGTTCAACTCTACAGTCCTATGCAACATAACCAAGGGTGAGATACTGTGGAAGTTATAATCCAAAAACATATGGAGAACGAGAGTTGCCCACATCGAGAGTAGACAGTACACTGTGTTCGTACAAAAAGAATACTCTATATACTCGAGTATAAGCCAAGTTTTTCAGCCCATTTTTTAGGCCGAAAAAGCCCCTCTCGGCTTATACTCGATTCAGAGTTATTTATCATTTTACTCTTTTGTTATTATTTTATTACATTTACATTATTTTACTCTATTCTTATTTTTATTACATTTATTATTTTACTCTATTATTTTACTCTTTATCATTATTACATTTATTATTTTCCTTTCTTTATTATTATTATTATTATTATTATTATTATTATATTTATTATTTTACTCTCTATTATTATTGGAAGGATACATAAGCACATTTACATTGGAGAAGGTTAGAATAATGGTTTAATCAGAGTTGGACAGTCTTATTTTAAATTACAGCTTTATGTAAATATTCAAAAATATTTAACCTACTGATGCCTCAATTAATGTAATTTTATTGGTATCTATTTTTATTTTGAAATTTACCAGTAACTGCTGGCTTATACTCTAGTCCAGGAGTCCTCAAACTTTTTATACAGAGGGCCAGGTCACAGTCTCTCAAACTGTTGGAGGGCAGGATTATAATTTGAAAAAGATATTAATGAATTATTATGCACACTGCATGTATCTTATTTGTAGTGCAAAAACACTTAAAAACAATACAATAATTAAAATGAAGAACAATTTTAACAAATCCAAACTTATTAGTATTTCAATGGGAAGTGTGGGCCTGCTTTTGGCTGATGAGATAGGGTTGTTGTTGTTGTGTGCTTTCAAGTCATTTCAGACTTAGGTTGACCATGAGCGAGGGCTGGGTACATGACCTTGGAGGGCCGTATGCGGCCCTTGGGCCTTAGTTTGAGGGCCCCTGCTTTCCAGTTTTGTGTGGTAAAATTAGGTACCTCGGCTTATAAGTGGACTATTGCAATACGCTCTATGTGGGGCTGCCCTTGAAGACGGCCCGGAAGTTTGAACTGGTATAGCGGGCGGCAGCCAGGCTCCTTACTGGAGCAAACTATAGGAAGCATATAACACCCCTATTAAAACAGCTTCATTGGCTGCCGATAAGTTGCCGAGCCAAATTCAAGGTGCAGGTCATGACCTATAAAGCCCTAAACGGTTCGGGCCCGGCCTATCTCCGCAATCGCATCTCCTTCTATGAACCAGCATGAGCTCTAAGGTCTTCTGGGGAGGCCCTTCTCTCGATCCCACTACTGTCTCAAGCGCGGTTGGTGGGGACGAGAGAGAGGGCCTTCTCAGTGGTGGTCCCCCATCTCTGGAACGCCCTTCCAAGGGAAATAAGACAGACCTGGTGGTTTCAACAAGCCTTTGAAAATGACCAGTTCTAACTCAGCCCTACACATTGTCTAATACGGCCTTATTCTTCCTACCAGTTACCCAGATTCTTTCTTCTAATCGGCCCCGGAATGAACAGCCACAGACCCATACCTAATATTATTGTTGCCTGCCATAGCATTGCACTTAATTCCTGGGCCCCCTAGAATTTTTGGGCTTGCACAAATCTTGGCCTGGTCTTTTTAATTTTGAATTACCTTGAACAGGCAGGATTACTTTTAATATATGTGTGTTATGGCGGCAATTTTTATGCTTATATTTTGTTTGTTAATCTTATGGTTATGTTGTTTTTACTCTGTATGTTTTGTGATGTTACTTGGGAACCCCTCTGAGTCCCCTCGGGGAGATGGAGCGGTATATAAATAAAGTGTTGTTGTTATTATTATTATTATTATTATTATTATTATTATTATTTATACTTGAGTATATAAAGTACATTAATCTCTACTCAGTGTTGTACATAGGGAATATAGAGCTTTTTGTGTTCTTTATTTGGATATGGTGACTTCATGCTTATTAGCTTTTGGAGCTAAAGCCTTTACCTTGAACTGTGTTTAGTTGATTAGTCTTCTTCCAAAAGGCATTCGACAACATTAACATCACTGCCTTCACTCACTGTTTACTGAGAAATTTAACAGCTGACAAATGCCAACCTGACTCAGCTGTAATGAATAGTCAAAAACTAGGCATTCTGTTAACTGTGTGGGAGTTAAAACTCAGTAGGCAGAGTTTGCTTGCATGTGGGAATTAGCTGGCATTCAAAATTGTTGCTTCAGCTACTTTAAAGGAGGCAATCCTCAGTATTAGAAAGAGTCGTAAGTCCCTTTTCCCTTGGTGAGAGCAAGGAGGATTGGGTATCACATGGTGTGCAGCAATCCAGATGATCTCTCTTGCCAAGAAAGTTAAGATCATTTGACGGAACAATTAGTGCAAGCAAATGCCATGCATCGTGAAGTCATAGCAAGTTGTTATGGGTCTTCAAGCCTTTTCTGATTTATGGTAACCTCATAGTTTTCTTGGCAAGTTTGTTCAGAAAGATTTGCCTTTGATTTCCTCTGAGGCTGAAAATGTGTGACTTACCCAAGGTCACCCAATGGGTTTCCATGGCCAAGCAGGGTTTCATTTGACCATAGAAAGGCATATAAAGCAGAATTCCATGAATTAATAAATAGAAATATTTATAAAAATGCATTGGTAATAAACTTTCAACATTTTGGCCTGCTCATGGCAGTAATGGGTGTTGAATAACTTTAGCATCTATCTCCGAATCTCAAGGGGATCACAATTAGGTTTTCTAGGTGGTACATGCCCAGGAGGGAGCCCCCAGTGAAACAGTGGGTTAAACCACTGAGCTGTTGAGCTTGTTGACCGAAAGGTTGCAGGTTCAAATCCGGGGAGTGGCGTGAGCAATTCGAACCTAGCAATTCGAAAACCTAGCAATTTGAAAACATGCAAATGTGAGTAGGTCAATAGGTACTGCTCCAGTGGGAAGGTAACGGTGCTCCATGCAGTCATGCTGGCCACATGACCTTGGAGGTGTCTACGGACAACACCAACTCTTCGGCTTAGAAATGGAGATGAGCACCACACCCCAGAGTTGAGCACGACTGGACTTAATGTCAGGGGAAAACCTTTACCTTTACCTACCTTACATGCCCAGGAAGATTTTTGCATTTGTGTTCATGCCCTCTGGTGCTGCAGCGGGTTAAACTGCTGAGCTGCTGAACTTGCTAACCGAAAGGTTGGAGGTTCAAATCTGGGGAGCAGGGTGAGCTTCAACTGTTAGGCCCAGCTTCTGCCAACCTAGCAGTTCAAAACATGCAAATGTGAGTAAATCAATAGGGAAGGTAACGACGCTCCATGCATTCATGCTGGCCACATGACTTTGAAGGTGTCTACAGACAACTCCGGCTCTTTGGCTTAGAAATGGAGATGAGCACCATCCCCCAGAGTTGGACATAACTAGACTGAATGTCAGTGGAAAACTTTACCGTTACTCATGCACATCTGTAAATGCATGGCTTGCATTTCCTGTTGCAAATGTCACCATATGCGTGTAACATAAGACTGCACACACATTTCCAATTTTGTGTGCTGATTTATGCCCCAGCAGATGGGTATCTATACCTGTCTGTATCTCTGTACTGTTATATATCACTGTTCACAGATATTCCAAGTTGTTTGGCTTAGGTCATATATGAATAACTGGTTTGTCATTCAACAACATATGTACAGTTGCTGTGCATTTGTTGAATTGGATCTAAACATTTTCTCTTAGTCAGGGATTTCTATCTTCGAGATATACTGTATCTTCAAGACGCACAAATCTCAATATATTGTTGAGAAAGTGAAGCGGATTTTTTGAGTATTTAGTCTATGTGTGGTTTATGTTATTACTTTTAATCCAGTGATGGTTGGTGCTTTTCAAATCACATAGAAAATGAATATGTTGTGAATGTTAGGTTCAGCACCTTGGATAGTTCCTGTAGAGTTTATACAAAAATATTATGCAGTATCACATAGGGCTCACCAGTTGTAAGTGATCTACTTTAATATCTTACATATATTAAATGATATATGTAACTGTACTTTCTTGAAACTGGGTTCATGTGATAAAAAAACTCAACAAAACACCCAATTGATACAAAAATCTAGAGATATTTCTAGTCCCATTGTATACAATGTTCAAAGTCAGCATACTCGTTCAAAAAACCCGTTAATATAGAGAAGTTGTTGGTGATGGCAAACATGGTGTATTTCTTTATTTATCCTTGAGAAACAAGCTGGTTGGACTGTCATGAAGTAATATTCTAACTGTGTCCTACTTTATAGCCCCTGATGCTGCAGATGAACCTTGTGATGCCTTTATGATAGAAGAAACAGAAAGAGGTTACCGATGTGCTATGGATATTCCCAGTCCACTTTACAAGTGAGTCTCTAAGCATGCATTCAAAATCATTTAAGACAGAAATGCATATTTTCTGCAGTAGATGAATGTATTGATTATATTCATGAATTCAGTAAGATGATAAAGAATATGCATGTCTACTCAAAATAAGGTCATATAGAGTTCAGTGGAATTTACTCTGTGGAGTAGGCTTTCCAGTGGTTTGTCGTTTCATCAGGATTATTCCAAGTTTTCTGTCAATGTCACCATCTCATTTTTTTTCATAACTTCTAGCAGACTAGAAAATGGGGGGGGGGGGCTAATTTAGTTCCACTCACTGGAATTAGATACTTTTGAGAAATCTGTATTTGCATATATGAGCATAATGAGATATATTGGTGACTGGCCATCCCCTGCCACGCGTTGCTATGGCCCAGTCTGGTGATCTGGAAAATAAAGTAATGAAAAAGTTTTGGTTTCTAATATATGTAATTTCTTTGTGCTTGCGGGTAAACAGTATTTCTTGCTGTTTCTTTGTCAGTGTTGATGTGGAGAGTGTCTGGTTTGCCTACTCTGGAATATGCAACATATCAGTGTCCTTTTTAAGGGGTCCATTTCAAATCTATGATACTATATCTCTCTGTGTGTGTGAATCATATCTATCTATATTTATGACTGGATGGCTCTTTGTCAGGAGGGCTCTGATTACATTTTCTTGCCCTAGTGAAGAGAGTTGGACTGGATGGTCTTAAGTATTTTCTGTTGGTCATGGGGGTTCTGTGTGGGAAATTTGGCCCAATTCTGTAGTTTGTGGGATTCAGAATGCTCTTTGATTGTAGGTGAACTATAAATCCCAGTAACTACAAATCCCAAATGTCAAGGTCTACTTCCCCCAAGCTCCATCTGTGTTCTTAGTTGGGCATATGGAATATTTGTGCCAAGTTTGGTCCAGATCCATCATTGTTTGAGTCCACAGTGCTCTCTGGATGTAGGTGAACTACAACTCCCAAACTCAAGATCCATGCCCACCAAACCCTTCTAGTCATGGGAGTCCTTTGTGCTAAGTTTGGCCCAATTTCAAGGGTATGTTTTAGTAAAGAGTTACTATTCATAATTCAGAGTTGCCAAAGGAAGAGAGAGAAAACACATGCACGCACTGTCCCCATGGTAAATATTCATAAGGTGTGCCCTTTCCTCATAGAGGTAGGTGTGGTGATAAACAATTGCCAATGTTGCATAGTAATAATTAGTTTCTCAAAATGGATTTTGAGATCTTGTGTGCTGTTCTAGATAGTATCCTATTCTACAATCACTAGTAAATTGTTTAGTATTTGTTTTGGTTTTTAGTGCTTTTATTAGGGTCTTGCCTTCTAAGATAGACAGAATGTTTAATATTTTGATGTTTGCCATTTTTAGCCATTTCTTTAATGTTGTCTATCCCCGATTCTTTCTTATTCCTTTTTCCTACGATATGTATTTCTATAGGTATATAATAGGAAAGAAAGGAGAAACAAAGAAGAAACTAGAAACAGAAACCCGGACCTCTATCAGTATACCCGGTCCTGGTGTTGAAGGAGAAATTGGTGAGTTTTAGTGTTTGTAATAATAATAATAATAAATAATAATAACTTTATTTACATCCCACTACCATCTCCCAAAAAGGACTCGGGCGGCTTACAGAGCAGCACATGAGTGCCACACAAAACATATAAAATACATCAACATATCAATAACAACACCAATTGACATAAAACAAAACTAACAGAATGAACAGAAAGCCCAACTCAATTTAAATAAAATACTCAATAAAAACACAGCATTAGTTACTTGTTTGGGTAATCATTTATTGGGTAATGAATCATTACCCAGACTCTCAGAGACTCTTGTTTCTGTCCACCACCCTCACAGGTTCATCTTCACTGTATCTGGTTGTGATCCCCAGGTTGTGTCAGTCAGCTTTCGTATGATATTGTTTCTAGCACCCACTTTTTGCTTGATATTCAGGCAGTGCTTCTTGTAGGTAAGAGCACGGTCCAGAGTGACTCCCAGGTATTTGGGTGCGCTGCAATGTCCAGTGGGATTCCTTCCCAGGTGATCTTCAGAGCTCGGGATGCTTCTCTGTTCTTGAGATGAAAGGCACATGTCTGTGTTTTGGATGGGTTGGGGATCAGCTGGTTTTCCCTGTAATAGGCAGTAAGAGCACCTAGAGCTTCGGAAAGCTTCTGTTCTACCATCTCAAAGCTCCCTGCTTGAGCAGTAATGGCACGATCATCAGCATAGATGAAACTCTCTGTCCCTTCTGGCAGTGGCTGGTCATTTGTGTAGATGTTGAACATGGATGGAGCAAGCACGCTCCCCTGAGGCAGGCCGTTCTTCTGTTTCCGCCATCTGCTTCTCTGGCCCTGGAACTCAACAAAAAAGCTCCTGTTTTGTAGCAGGTTTCCTATGAGGCGGGTGAGGTGGTAGCCCTTTGTGATATTATACATTTTTCTCAGGAGGAGGCAGTGGTTCACAGTATCATAGGCTGCTGACAGGTCTATGAAGACACCTTCTTGCAGCAACACCAGAAGCACTCCAAGTGGCCAGATATTGGTCAAAGGACATTTAATCAACTACCAAACTCACAAATTTTGTATTTTGTCTCTTTGTTTGCTTTGTTCTGTTAGAAATGTAATATAATTTGACTGGTTGCCCTGACACGACAAATAAAATACAGGTACATCTGTAGAGAGGCTTGCCAAGTTTTTTGGGACCTTAATATTGAGCCAGGAGCCCCTGGTGGTGCAGTGGGTTAAACCGCTGAGCTGCTGAACTTGTTGACTGAAAGGCCGGCAGTTCGAATCCCTCCTGCTGTTCACCCCAGCTTCTGCCAACCTTGCCGAAGCTGGGTTGCAAATGTGAGTAGATCAATAGGTACCGCTTTGGTGGGAAGGTAACAGCACTCCATACAGTCATGCTGACTACATGAACTTGGAGGCATCTACAGACAACATCGCCTCTTCGGCTTAGAAATGGAGATGAGCAGTACCACCCAGAGTAGGACATTACTAGACTTTATGTCAGGGGAAACATTTACCAATATTGAGCTAAGGGGACCCCATTTGGGGTCAGAACCCACAGTTTAAGAAGCAGTGCTCTAGGTTAATATGGCTATCCCTTTATATTCTGTCCCAGGTTTAAAATAATTATAATTATGGTTCTGGCTTTGACATAGTAATCAGTAGATCAAAGGCCACCTGTAACTGTTTCCAGCTCATCTGCTTTATGCTAAACCAATGGTTCTCAATCTGTGGGTCCCCAGGTGTTTTGGCCTACAACTCCCAGAAATCTCAACCAGTTTACCAGCTGTAAGGATTTCTGGGATTTGAAGGCCAAAACATCTGGGGATCCACAGGTTGAGAACCACTGTGCTAAACTATGGCTTTGTGTGACATGTGAAGAAAGCCATTCTGAATTTATTCAGGCTGAAGAGAACAAAGTTTCCACGTCCCCAGTAGTATCAGAAGATGTATGTAATGCATTTCATGGTTTAAATAACAAACCATGGCTAATGCAAATCATGGCTTGTTTTGATGTACAAATGAGTTCATAGCAAGCTTTTGAAATCCCAGAACAGGCATTCCTGCAGAAAGAACGAGACTGGTTCATTCTTTCACATCATCAAGAGACAATATAAGTTGTTCATGTTATGCTGGGATTGTGTCCCCAATGAAGATATACACAAAAATGTAACTTGATGTGGGAAGTGAAAGAGCAGCATCTGCCTACTTTGGAAACAATGAATTCCTCTTTAGAGAAGTTGATTTCATATATTTTAAACTGCTATTTTATTGTAATGTTGACCTTTAAAATTTGTACAGGTGGTTTCCACCTTGTTACAAACTGTCTTATCGGAATAGTGACAAAACCTGCCATTAATGCTTTACTTTCACAAGTGTACTTTGCATATTGTCATGAAACCTGTCTTGTATTTTGCTTCTTTCCAGTGATCACAGGACAGCACCGGAATGGTGTTATTTCAGCTCGAACACGAATTGATGTTCTTGCCGAGAGCTTTCGCAAAAAACAGCCCTTCACACACTTTCTGTCAATTGCACTCAACCAAGCTGCAATCCAGGGAAAGTTTCTACAATTCAAGGAAGAAGTCTTAGAGAAGTGTTCAAATGTAAGTTGACATAATGATACTCAAAAATCATTGAGAGATTTTTTCAATGCCATGTGAGCTTATCAAGACTGATAGGCATAAAATGTATGTTGTTAGTAGCACTGCTTTTACCTGAGACAATAGCATTGTCATTAGAAATTCACTGGAATGATAAATATGAGGAGGATGTAATAATGCCCGCACAAGTGTATACTGATGGGCTAACCTGAGATGGCATAGCTGCCATTTTTGAAAATGGCATTTAACCTTTTGGAAAAACACTTTTTTGAGATCATAAACTTTTTAGAAAATGATGACCTTTTAGAGAAGAGCCAAAAACCCTTTAGAGTAGAATCTTCTCTTGTGATATACAACCAGATATAATTATGCAAGGCAGTGGTTTCAGTTGTTGGACTGAATAACCTGTTATCTCTAACAGATTTGCCATTGCTTTAAAACATCAGAGATTTAGAAGTGTTTTTCAGTGCTAAATATATATATATATATATATATATATACACACACACACACACACACACATAAAACAATTTGTTTTATATCATGCACTCAAGAGGCAAAAATGAAATAGACTATGATAAAAGTAATGTATTTAATAAATAATAAAACTTTATTTATACCCCACCACCATCTCCCCAAGGGGACTCAGCGCGGCTTACATGAGGCCACGCCCAGCAATACAGTAAAACTGTTGTGAACCAGAAGCCTTAACAGAGCCAAACACAAGTAAAAGATGCAAACAAAGTTTATTAACAAACAAAAACAGCCTAGAAACACTTGAATTCAGCGAATCTAGCAATAAAACAAAGTCTGTAGCAACTGCTAGGCAAAAAACGCAACTTGGATAATAATCCGGATTATGCAGAGATATAATCCGGTATAACAAAAACCTTCAGCAAACTGCTTGAAAATAACAGAGTTCACAAAGCACAACAAAGCAAGGTGGGAGCAAGCAAAAACGAAGTCAGGAAGCAGTCCAAGGTCAAAACACGTCCAAAAGTTGTAGTAGTACTAGTCCAAAATGCGATGTCGTTGTCAAAAAGCAATCCGAAGTCAGCAGGAGTAGAAGTCAGCACTTACAGGATTCCAGTTGGTAGAAGCACGGAAGCGTAACGATCTGCAGTCCCAGGACCCAAGGCGACAGTAAAGGCAGCAACAAAGTCCCAAGCCCCATACAACTCTTTGCCTACTGCAAAGTTCCAATAGTTTGATACCTTACTTTTATCCTATAACTCCTCATCAGAGGTGGAGCTGGACTCCACCCTGTCGTCATCGCTCTCAGGTGCTTTCGCTTCCACAGCTGCTTGCCACCGCCCGTCCCTCCAGATCTTCCAGCGTCTATCAAGACTTAGATCACCTCATGTATTTCCAGGTTGCCAGTCTCCCGAGAACCTCTCAAACTCCTCACTTGAGATGGGTTGAGTACATATGTCCCTGATCTCTTGTACACGGGTCCAATCTAGTCCATCCTCCTCCCCGTCATCACTCCCAGTCCCATCACTCCCTGTGAACCCCATGAAGTCCTCCTCTTCAGTCGGAGCATTAAGTATTTCACAGATCCACTTCGCTTCCTTTCCCTCTCTTCATCTGATTCTTGATCCCGAGTAACCCGCTTCAAACCTCTACCTTACTCTCCCTCCTCCTCCATTTCAGAACCCTAAACCCTTCAAATGACTCAGTATCTGTAGGTGTCATGAATATTTCCCTAATCCGCTTCCTTTGCTGCTCTTGATCCAACACCTGAGCAGTCCTCTTTGCCCTTCTACTACTCGTTGTAGCTTGCTCAGCACACTCTACTACAACAAAAACAATATAACACAAGAACACACCAGAAAATAAAAAAAATTAAAAATAACATAAGATACAAAAACCAATATAAATAAACAGAGCAACAATATAAAATCAGAATATTAAAACACAGAAAATTGATCACAGTGGGCAGGGCCAATTGCAAAGATTAAAACGTAAAACACTGGGTGAGAGGGCAATGTAAGTATTTGGTTTATTTCTTCATGTGTTCATACACAGGTATACAACTTATCAGTGCAGTTTCAGATATGTTTGAGACAATTATCTGTGCCATCCGTCCAGGGCATCTCTCTTATAAGAAAGCAGCTATCAAAAGGTCACATAGTCAAAAGGATAGAGAACGAGCATGTGGTCTGCAGCCCCTTTTATAACTGCACAGAAACCATAGAGTAAAGGAAGCTGCACACCAGAACATACATACAGGAAACAGTCAGCAACAGGATCATAGATAAACATTACTAGAGAAGGTTTGAAGAAGGTTGGCACTTCCTACATGTCATGATAACCATGGCTCTAATTATCATCATCTTTCTTTATTTATATTCCACCTCTCTCCCTGTAGGAACTCAAGGTGGCTAAGTAGTACATAGTTGGCCAAAGCTATGAAGTAGGACATATAATGGACTTAGATTTTGTTATTGGGAAAGCTGAGGGTGATCTAAGTGAGGGGAGATTTCAATAGCCCTATATTTCCTTATGACGTTTAGTTTAGAAGTAGCAGGCCTTTGGGGGACCTATTAAAATAGCCTTCCCCCAAAGTTTTATAGAATTTGAGGGATTCCTGAATGCTCTGGGAGATTTTCTTGTAGATAGGACTGACAATTTGATTGAGGTCTCGGTCTTACTGTGGAGAGACAAAAAGGCCACCAGTACAATTAATCCCAAGTGCATGTTCTGATGTTGAGCTGCCATAATTCCCCTTGGTTTGCTAAAGACTTGTCAGGCAATGAAACAGATTGAGAAAAACTGGAATGCAGGTAATACAGGATTCAGAGTGAATGCAACCGGAGATCAGCCAAATCTCTTTGGTGTGTCTATTTGTGCAGCAGTAAAGCCGGCAGAAAAGTAAGGAGCGAGAAACTCTTGGGATCAGTCCCAGAGAGAGGCTTTGAATATCTGCTGTGAAAATACCTCTTAGGAGAAAGTTGTTTGTATTTTGAAAGAATCTACTGCAGGAAGATGTTGAAAGAAACTCTAAAATACTACTATTATTCTAGCTGTCCCTGCCACGCGTTGCTGTGGCCCAGTCTGGTGATCTGGAAAATAAAGTAATGAGAAAGTGTTGGTTTCTAATATATGTAATGTCTTTATCCTTGAGGGTAAACAATATTTCTTGCTGTTTCTTTGTCAGTGTTGATGTGGAGAGTGTCTGGTTTGCCTATTCTGAAACATGCAACATATAACTGTCCTTCTTTAGGGGTCCCTTTCACATCTATGATACTATATCTCTCTCTGTGTGAATCATATATATCTATCTATATCTATGACTGGATGGCTCTTTGTCAGGAGGGCATTGATTATGTTTTCTTGCACTGGTGAAGGGAATTGGACTCGATGGCCTTAAGTATTTTCTGTTAGTCATGGGGTTCTGTGTGGGAAGTTTGTGGGGTTAAGAATGCTCTTTGATTGTAGGTGAACTATAAATCCCAGTAACTACAACTCCCAAATGTCAACGTCTATTTCTCCCAAACTCCATCTGTGTTCGTATTTGGGCATATAGGATATTTATGCCAAGTTCAGTCCAGATCCATCCACAGTGCTCTCTGAATGTAGGTGAACTGCAACTCCCAAACTCAAGATCAATGCCCACCAAACCCTTCTAGTGCTTTCTATTGGTCATGGGAGTCCTGTGTGCCAAGATTGGTTCAATTCCATCATTGGTGGAGTTCATAACTCTTTGATTGTAGGTGAATTATAAATCCCACCAACTACAACTCCCAAATGACAAATTCAATCCCCTCCAACCCCACCAGTATTCAAATTTGGGTATTTGTGAACGAAAATACATCCTGCATATCAGATATTTACATGATAATTCATAACAGTAGGAAAATTAGAGTTATGAAGTAGCAACCAAAATAGTTTTATGGTTGGGGGTCACCACAACATGAGGGACTGTATTAAGGGGTCACAGCACTAGGAGGGCTGAGAAACACTGTCCTATTGGAATAAAATGTATTTTTGTTGGAATTATTTGTCCCAATATTATTCTGAAGACTTTTGGCTGTAATTACTATTATGTAGATGTCATTAACTGCAGTGTCAGTTTCCACTGAAAAACTAAGGTAAGATCTATCTATCTACCTGTATTATCTGTATCAGTGTTTCCCAACCTGGGGGTCGGGACCCCTGAGCGTGTCGCAAGGGGGTGTCAGAGGGGTCCCTGAAGAGCATCATCAAGCATAGTATTTTCTGTTGGTCATGGGAGGGTTCTGTGTGGGACGTTTGACCCAATTCTATCATTGGTGGGGTTCAGAATGCTCTTTGATTGCAGGTGAACTATAAATCCCAGTAACTACAACTCCCAAATGTCAACATCTATTTTCCCCAAACTCCATTTGTGTTCACATTTGGGCACATTGAGTATTCCTGTCAAGTTTGGTCCAGATCCATCATTGTTTGAGTCCACAGTGCTTGCTGGATGTAGGTGAACTACAACTCTCAAATTCAAGGTCAATGCCCACCAAACCCTTCCTGTATTTTCTGTTGGTCATGAGAGTGCCAAGTTTGGTTCAATTCCATCGTTGGTGGAGTTCTATCATTGGTGGGGTTCAGAATGCTCTTTGATTGCAGGTGAACTATAAACCCCAGCAACTACAACTCCCAAATGACAAAATCAATTTTTTGAGTGATGGTCACTCCTTGGGTTAGTAGGTGTCTTGTGTCCAAATTTGGTGGCAATTTGTCCGGTAGTTTTTGAGTTATGTTAATCCCACAAACAAACATTACATTTTTATTTATATAGATGAGAATCCTATATTATGAAATGACATAGCTTCAGAACATTTGTCGGCATTCACATTTGCAGAATGTATGGTTCCTGTAATTCAAAAGAGTCTTAACCGGATTTCTTGATTTCTGTCAGGAGATCTAAATATCTGTTTTTATCACTCTCCCTTGACTCATAACCCTACAAATTTAAAAACATAGAATTAAGTGACTGCAAGAGATGGCTTTTCGTGAAATTGAGTCCC